ATCTAAACCGGTCCGAGTGGAAACAACTCCTTAACTTATTGTACCCCCAGTCTTTCTGACAAATAATAATAATAATAATAATAATAATAATAATAGCAATAGAACAAATGTAAGATTTGGTAAAACCATAGCTCTGATTGGCTTCATTTGTTGAAAGCCGTGTCAGTTAAAACGTCATTCTCAAAGTCAGTGTGTGATGTCATCCACTCACGCCTTCAACCTACATATTTAGAGACTCTGGTACAAATTGTGTCAAAAGTAGAGATTTCAAAATGTACAGCTGTCTTTAAATTGTGTCGCTAGGCCAAGTAAAACTGGAGTTATGATAAATAGTGTATGCCACTTTTTTCTGAAAATTATCATCTTATTTCAAGTGTGTTGCAGCTGCAGGAAACATGATAATCTTGTGGACAAAACACAGCCATAGGACRTCAGTCTCATTTTTCTTCCAAGCTGAAAAATTATAATTCCTCATATTATAATTCCTGACTATAAAAAAAAAACGTTAAATGAACAGGTCTGTCCTGATTTCTGAAATAATCATAGTTGACAGTTTGGATCACAGTTTTGCAAAATAAACATGTAACTTTGGACACAAAGTTTATTTTTATCTAATTATTTTTTTACAGAAAAATTAAAAATTGTAATGATTGTCCTTTTTAGGAATTCGTTCCTTATTTCAGTGTTTGAAAGTAACTCAACAAAAGTAACCAATCAGCATTCAGCACTTCTAGTGATGTCAGCAGACGTCTGTCACTCTCCAGCCATGGGTGATTTCATGAGGTGAAACAGTTCCTTCCCATTGAGTTGAGAGAACACAGGCGTTAGGTTCTTGTGATCACAATCATKCCTTGAATGAAGTAAAGAAATGATTCAGAAACAAGGGTCACAATTCAAGTTGCACCTCTCGATCAGGAGTTAATAATTAAAAGAGGTAAACTCGGTCCTGCAGACTTTGCATTAGAATAAYTTTAAAACYGAAGGYAAATGAAATCAAGCAGTCAGACAACYAACTTCTGAAAACATCAGTGTGTTTCTAATTATAATGATGTTTAGATTTTTGATTAGAAATGAAAGTGCCTGTTAGACCACTTTTAGTTGATAAGTGTAGTAATTAATCTTAGAGATCAAGATATTTTCATTGAGCCATCAGTTGATGGCACTACAATAATAATTTTTATTATAATGTTTTCACTTTGAACAGAAAAAGTTGGTGTTGTTTTCATTAAAAATTTTCTATCTCAAAATTTAACAGGCTCTGCAACGATCCTTTAATCSTGTTGGAGATCATTAGAACAACTTTACAATCAGGATTAATCAAAGCAACTAAAAGTATGTGCCAATTTTATGTCAAGATGACACTTTTTTCWGTACAGGTCAATCCAGGCTCCATGGCAGCGAGAAGCTCTCTCCCTCCAGCTCTTTGTGAATTGCTGATGTGAATCGAGCCATTTGCTCCGAGTTAAAGTGGTTTTTCCAGTCTCCAACAATTCCTGTGACACAAAACACAATATGAKATGATCACAATAAAAGTCAGAACTAAAAGTAAATCTTGCTTGTGTGATAGAATGTAAATATAATCACATATTTGAATAAATCTGAAAAGATTAATATGTTCAGCTCTGACAATTCCAGTTCTGTCTCCTGTCCAGAGGTTTATAGTAACTAAGTACAATTACTTCATTACAGTACTTAAGTAGTTTTTTTGAGGATTTGTAATTTTACCAATTATTTTTTAAACAGCTACTTTTACTTTTATTTCATTACATTTTTAATCTAACTTTAAAATGTAACACCTACAGTAGTTACTCATTACAAAATTAAATATGTTCGAACTGTCATAATCTGTATTTATTTTCCTTAGTTTTCTAGTGTTTTCTGTGTTCCCCTGTGTATCTTTCCCCTGCTTCTAGGCCTGCCCCTGTTCAGCCGTTCCCTGTTGTGTCTTCCCAGGTGTTTCTGATTTTCTCTTAATTTGTTTGCTTTATATTCTGAGTCTTGTCACCTGTCTTTGTCGGTTCATTGTGCTGTTTTCCCTCAGCCTGTGTGGTGTTCTGTCCATTCCTCCCGAGTAAGAGTTTCTGTAAGCTTTTTTGCTGCCTCATCAGGCCTTCTTTTGTTTAAATAAATTGTTTCGTTGCATTTTGGACTTTGCCTGCGCCCTGGGTTTTTCTGCCAGCGACTATTGAAACTCGAAAGGCTGAGGTAGGGAGGGCCATTTTATGCAAACCAGCCCTAAACCCCAAACCCACATTTTATAAACCAGTGGATGACAAAGCAGCATTCAGCAGAATGAACAAGGGGGGAACAGAAGAAGCTGTCAGACAGCTGCAAATAGGGAGAGGAGACTGACAAAATAAACACTTAATTTCAGAGAGCAGTAAGGGTAAATCTATTAGATACGATTCCCCTGGAAACAGTCATGTCATCATCAAGCTACATTGAGTACCACGGCCTTCTCCTGCATCATACAGCCCACACTGCAGAGAGCCTGGAGTACGCCGAGAACTTCTCTGTGGAAGACACTGATGTGTTTGCTGTCACTTACCCCAAGTCAGGTAAAATATGTCTGTTTTATCTGTTTGTTTTTATTTGACCTGCTCTGTCACATTTTTAGTGTTTAAAAAGCAGAGTTTACAGTGCGTTGTTGAAACAAAGTAGATGTAATTCTGTGTAGGAGCTGTTTAGGACACCAGGGTTATGGAATAGAAAAATTCCAGAACTCAACCAGATAATCATTTTCAATGCCAACTTACAAATAAAACTTATAGAACCAAGTTTTATTACTTGTGAAAGTCCAAAGACTTAAAATAGTTTGTAACTGGTTTTGCGCTCATGATTTCTTTTCTACTTTGTGGTCATTGGGTACTATGAGACAATAGTTCTCTGGGCTTCAGTAGGTTTTCTCCAGGTATTCTGGTTCTCCACCACAGACCAAAAATGTGCATTTCAAGTTAA